TCTGACTAAATATTTTGCCTACTGGATATACTAGCACTTACTATTTTGTACAATAGGCAGATGCAGTAGCTTGTTCCAGACATATAGAAATCTCTCAATAGATGTTGAAGTTCCCTGATTATACCTTTAAGACCAATTCTAAACAAACACCTGAGCACTTCCAATTTCATTAGAGGAACAAACCCCTTTGATTTTTTCCCTTGACTTTCTGACTTCAAAAGGCCTATAAAGGGAAATATTTGATATAGCAAAATAAGGGTGAGAGTGTCAGCTCTAAGAAGTATTTCGTTTTAGAAAATGATTTACTGGTCTGACTGTGTCAGTTAGAGGTTGCAGTAACTGACAGATGTCTTTCACAATTACAGAGAAGCATAGCCTTATGTTGATGGGGAAAAAGGATACACAATTTTCTTTCCTCCCCTAGTTAGTGAATACTGTTTGGTGTCTGATGTACCTTGTGTACTGTTGCTGTTTGAAAAATGCAAACATTACTGGCTGAAATTTGGAAATGAGGAAAAAACCTAAATGAATTATAAACCTCTTTCTTGATGCAGATATGAAATCACAGATCCAGCCTATTTTGAGCTGATATATTTCCAGATATCAAAGCCAATCTTGGTATAATCTGTGCTGGAAGGTCTATTCCACTTGTCCCAAATTAAGTTTGTAGCCTATCTGGGTCTAGAACTGCTTTTTGTTCTGTCTTTGCAGACTGTTTAATATGGTGAAACCCTGTACTAGTTTGGGTCTCTAAAGCAATGGAACTAAACACTAATTTTTGTATTGCCTTGGGTACAATGCATACTTGTTTCTAATTTCCCTCTCTTCTACAGGATGTGGCATGTGTCTGTTTGCCAACATTCACTGGCAAGTTCTGTGAGAGAATACTGAATCCATGTGACTTCTCTCCTTGCTTAAACAATGCAACTTGCATAGCTCATCAGCAGAACTATAATTGCCGGTAAGGTTGGGAATTAATTTACTTCAGTACTTCCTTGGTTCACTTGATGATATCCCACAGACTGTGGAATTCTTTCCAGGCCATTGTCATTCACAGAGAACACAGAAAATCATAAACTTTTAACAATTTTTTATTGATTTTTGGTGCTTTAATGTGTTACCTTTCCTGAAAACTTTTAAAGTGATACAAAAAGATTTAAAGCATTCAAGGAGCTATAAATTGTTTCTTTATTGATACAGTAAGATACAATATATAACTCCAGACATGCTGATAAGTGAGACAATTTTACTGGAGGTGCCACTCCCTTTCAGGGTTTGTGATGTTTGTGTTGTTCCTGAAAAGGGAAGGCAACCAATTTAATATCTAATTCACAGATCTGCATCAGTAGACCTTAAGTTGATGCTTCAAGCAGCATATGAAAAACTGTTTTATTCAAAAATCCCATACTAAAAATTATCCATGTGAAAGCAGCAGAAGTGGCCCAGTATATAATTTCATTCCATTTTAAATAGCTTTTTAGAGTATTTTTTTACTTCACTAAGGGGTAGAATTTTTTCTCTTCCCATTTGCTTGGCTTTTATCTGGTTGCCTAAGTTCTGCTAAGCATTACTGAAGTGCAGTAAACAACTTTTAAATTTTAGGATATTCATAAAAGCAGAAAATTGAAAGCTGTGCTACACAAAAGCCTGACAACGTATGAATGAACTTAGAAACTGCAAAATGATAACAGAAGTACAGAACACAAAGTTAGAACCCATCAGCAGAGATTCAATTGAGAAATCTGGAAATTAAAATAGAAGTAGAACTATACCTACAATATTACCAAAGAAGAAAATACAATTTTATTTATATTTACACCCAAATGCAGATATACATACAAACATACACATACAACACATTAAAAGTTAGATCTTCCCATGTAGATATGTATAGGACAGAACAACAGTGTTATCAACTTTCAGCCTCTAAGTCATGTTTTAATTCACTTTACTCAAAGGAAACTACTCATAATTTATTACTTTATTCAGGAGGTTTGGAGCTGCTCATTCAAAGTTTTAAGTGAAGGTTTGTTTCATTTTTGGTAATCCTTGTCAAATACTGTAAGTTATGTCTGTGTTAATTACTCCATGACAAAACTCATGTGTCTCATTCAGTGCAGAATTATTAATTGATCCACTTTTATAGCATTTTAATGTTTCAAATAAATGTAATGGCATTCAGTTTATATGCATATACAAGTTCAAATGACAACTGAATTGATCTTTTTACTTTCTTGATGGTTTGTTTTGCTAGTCCCTATTTTATGTGCTTCTTATGCCCAAGCTACATTTTCATATCCATCACAATCTCAGCTTCTATCTACACATCCTTCCTTCTTTGGGAAAGCAGTTGTTTTCCATTCTAAACATATAACCAAACAGACTCAATTTAATTTTCTCCACTTCAGTTATGATGTATGACTATCTTGTATCCTAATTCCATCTTTTCAGTCTTGATATCATACACAACTTTGTGCTAAGAATCTAATGGTAACATTTTTTTCTTAAATGTCAAAATTTAAGGTGAATTCAAATAGGCAGTGAACAAGGATATCCATCACAATAAACTGTGATTGTTTGCTTTGTATCTTGTTTATTATCCATGTTCTTTATGACAAGAAAAAGTCACAAAAAATGTGAAAGGGTATTCTGAGAAAATTTGTTCTGTTAGTGTCATCTTTGGAACTTTTCTGTCAACTTTCTGTCAGTTTACTCTTACCTTCCCTGACATTGGTATGTTTATTAGAAAACAACAATATAAATCAAAAGAAGAGAAATGAGCAAACATGAAAATTAGAAAAAGCTTCTAAATTGGTTTACTAGATTATCTGTTTAATGAATCAATCATAGTTTAGCTAAATAAACTCAACGACAAATCTAGGAACATTTTCATCTAATTTCAGATCATAGGCCAAAAAATGCCAGTAAAACAAATGTTGTAATTGAATTGCTCTGGTTTGGTTTTAGATGTTATTTAAAAATGGAATTATAACAGCAGTTACAAAGGCTTTTAAATATATTTAATTATTATTTTACATTCCTTTTATATGTAAATTTAATATATGGATAAATGATGCTATACTATGAAGAACAACAAATATGATATTGATATGATATTGATATGAGTAAATTTTTTAGAGGTAAAAATAAGTATCTAACTACATGAGGTCTTTGAACATGCTGAACTAAAAGCAGCTAAGTATTATGAAAATCTCCTTGTAGCTAAAATACATGAAATGGAAATTTGTTAAGAAGAGGCTTTGAAGAGTTTTGAAGCAAATACCTGAAATGGCAGCAATATAATTGCATGCAACACTTTTTTTTCAAGTGGAGGGTGAGGATTGTGTAGTCCATTGCTGCTTGCATAGAGTGTCCTCCTGTGGTTGTGTCTATACTAACCTCAAAGCACCTCTTCTGTTTAGAGAAGATATTCCCATGCCCACCTAACTCTGTCCAGCTGGTCCTATGCATGAATTGTGTGGATGTTCTTCCAGGATTTCTGATGAAATCTAATCTGTTTAACACTTCACCAAAGGTTAATAAGTGACTTAAGCTTGTCTGTGCATCCATCAGAGGTATAGCCATACCCACTGATAGACATCTTTAACTGATTTAGGAAGAATGGTTAACTCAGTTCCTACTGAATGTTGTTACCTAACTAATTGCTATTGAAATTATGTCCTTTTCTTTTTTATGCTGCATAACTGTGAGAGGCTTCATCCAGTTTGAAACCAATCATAGGATTTTTTTTTAAAATGAGAAAACACAAGCAAGACTACTGAATCTCATATCTATTATAAGGAGCAAGAACATAGAAAAAACAGAAGCAATTCTGTATCATCATCGTTATGATTTCCAGATTCTGGGCCTGGTCGTTAGTAAAAGTACACCTTAGAAAAAGCTGAAGAAACTTACTATTGGATTCCTTCACAGACACAAATTTTCAGCTAATTGTCCATTTCCTTTCTCTCCTCCTTAAATTTTTTCTTTCTGTAATACCACAAAGAGTCTTTAGACAGAGGAACATGCTATGTCTGTAAGAACATATGAAGTGATTTTGACAGGGATTATGTATCTATGAAAACACAAAAGAGGTTTTGCAGTCTGGATATTACTTTTTGCATATTTTGAGCAAGAATTAAATATCTAAATATTTTTCTACATTGTTCCATTATTGGTTTTGAATAAGATTTGTTTGCTCTTCATTCGAATCTCATCTTTTTTCTTTGTGTATATGGGATTTTTGTAAAACACTGGAGGGCTAGATAAGAAAAGGATTTTCTCCTGCTAATGATGAGTGCTGACATATAGAAAAAGAAAATTCTGCAGTTACTTTTGCCATAGAAGAGTTCCCCACAGCTCCACTGGCATCACATAAAACTAATACAGTCACAGACATAGAATTCTAGTTTTCTTTAAAGAAAATATTGAATAACAATTAGCAAACACAAAATCAACTGTGCATTGTTTTCTCTATGTTGTTCCTTACATACCTAAGCATGTCATTATTTAATACTCTAAACATTAGCAAAGTTTGATGCTAATTGATTTAAATGTCACTTACCATATTTGTATTTTTTCTTCTCTGATGCTTTAATTGACCCATCATTTCTAACGTTTCCAAAACCTTCTCTATAGCTTTTTATTAAATATTATCTCATTCTAGATATTTTTTCCTGCAAGATAATATGAAATATAGGTATGAGAATGCTTTAATCAATGAAAAGAATTATTTTATGAAAAAGCAGAATTATCCACAATCTTGCAACTGATGTTTAATTGCTTGAAACCATGTTCTGTTTATTTTAAATAACGTATGAGATCTGAAAGAACATCATTTAACAGAATTATAGAACGTAATTAAATACAATTGACTTTTAAAAGGCAAGTCCTCTAAAATACACTGGTGTATTTGCAGCTGCATGCCAGGATTCACTGGAAAGAACTGTGAGGAAGTAATAGACTACTGCAGGCTGCTCAGCATCAACTGTCTGAATGAAGGATTGTGTCTTAATATAATTGGAGGATTCACTGTAAGTAATTTAATACATGTTAAACTAATTCAGTGTTCCAAAGTATAAAAGCTCCAGACAAGCACAACTCGAAATGCATTCATTACTCTAAGAGACAAGAAGGGCATAAATGTATGTGTTTTATTTATTTAAATCAATAACACAAGGACAATTCACTTGGGTAATATGGATTTTTTTATTACTTTTCTACTGAGACTGTGTTTTTGACTATATCAAGTAAGATAACTGAAGAGGTTTTTTATAGTGAGAAACAATATGTAACCAAATGTGGTCCTGTGGCATTACCCACACAGGTGATAATCACAGCTGTGTTGCAGCCTTTAAAAACACATTGTTTGAATTAAGAACATCTGTTGCCATTGTCTGACCCAGAATCAAATTACTGCTCTAAACATAAATACATTTAAACTTTATACAAACTCAAAGTTTGATGATGAAACCAGAGTATGGTAAGGTTCATTCCAATGACAATATGGAACAGAAAAAAGAAATTCTGTCTGTTTTAACTCTCAAAATAGCTCCTAAAAGTGTTAAGCAAGATCCATTACATAGCAAGATTCTTCTGACCATAGATTGTAAAAAGAGAGGAAATACTAGTTTCTCCTGCAGCATGTTTCAGAACAACTTATAGGTTACTCTGAACAACCACTTATTCTGCAAATAACAGTTGATGATCACAAAATCACAGAGTGGATGAGGCTGGATGACCTCTGGAGGTCATCTTGTCCACCACCTTGCACAGAGTCACTTTGGGCTATTTATCAAGTTCCAGTGCACTCATCAGTTTGGGTGTTCAGGCAAAATGTGTTGGGATTGCTGTTCTTCCTTACTTCAAGAACAGTGGTCCTTTCTGTAA